TGCTGAACATTCCTCTTGCTATTGAATCAATCTAAACTAACAATTTAACACATATTGCTAGCTTTCACAGTTGCAAAGCAAAATTTTGGATGTGCAGTAATTTACTAGAGATTTGATAGCTAAGAACTGTTAATTAAAAAAAAATAAATTAGAAATTTAGCCCAAATAGAACAAAGTATCAAATCAACTCTCTCACAAATGATTTAAGAAGAACTCAGATAAGCCTACATTGCTTTTGTTTCTCGAGATGCTGAAAGCCTTTTGTAGGTTTTTATAAACCCAAAATTAGTAATTAGAAACTAAATTTGATACCTCAGTATTTTCCCCAGTTCTTTGAAAAGAATCCAAGAAACTCAGTAGTTTGGTCACTTGGAAAAAAAGTCTCATTCTTTACTGGTACAGAAACAAAGAAACTACAGCAAGGCAATATACATTAGAAAGTTACAGTACACCAACTGCTTTGCAGCAGCGATGCAGGTCCATGTTTTAACCTTGTTGTAAATGCAAAGTGTAGCGGTACACATTTGGGCAATTATCAAAGTAAAGGCTATAAATTCATCTGTTGATCATTTGTGTGCTAAAGTGATCAAAGATGGGAAATAACACCATAATACAACATACAGAAAAATAAGTTATTAACATCCATAATCACAAAGCATTCAAAAAAATAAGAATAGTAGTATACTATTAACTACATTTGACACTTTATATTCATCAAAACCTGGGACTGACTTCTTTCATAAAAAAGGTATTAAGATACAAGGTTTTGACACCATAGCAACAAAAATTTGTTATTAATGCCTAGAGAATGTGCAGTGAACAACAGATACTCTAAACAGGTAATTGAACCTGAAAGTAGACAGAAAACATTCTGTGGAGCACATATGAACGGCGGAGTTAAATCTGCTGCATTTTCATACCACAAAAATATTTACAGTGTGTTTTATGAAACAATATTCAAAAAAGATGACTAGAACACTATTGTAAAGGTATTCATAAAGCAACTGATATGCACAGTTGTTTCCAAGTACAAGAGAATGCTATTTCTGTTTATATAAAATCACGTTCTCTTCCGAGAGTATGCAGAAAATTAGAAAAAGTAATTAATGTTTTAAAAAAAATATTTATTTTTCAGTAGCTTTAATTTTGGCCTCCAATATGCAAAAAATCAAGAGAGAGACTTGCATTATGTGGCTATAATAAAGAAATTTTAATTGCAACTCTTATATCTACAGGGCTGTATTCTGCTTCCTTGTAATACTTCCAACAGGAAATTAACAGTAGTAATTTTATGAAATCCTCTAGTAAGTTTTAAAAGAAAGAAGTGCTTTGAAGAATAATTATTCCGAGTAACATGCTAACTTTACTTAGAAGCAAGATTTAAAAAATCAGAGGTTATACATACATAGTTAAAAAAAAACAATACAGGCTGCAAATACTTCTGAGTAGTAACTCATAAAACAGTTATGTAGAAATAATGTTAAAGAATTTCAGGACTAAAGTATGTTTTGAGTGGAATCTGAACTCTGCAGGCACTTTTAGGACAAAAATGCTGCTAAACTGGAGACTGCTACTAAACTCTAGATATACAAGTCTTGAACTGATGTTTAAGCCCTCCTAGACACTGAAACAGCAGTCAGATTTCAGTGCATCCACTGACATTTAAGAACACAATCCCACTTGTATATTCTAATTTTTAATTCCAGCACCCTTCCAGCCTCTTTTTTTTGTCTCAGACTGTATTTCCTCCAATGCAGAATATGCGGCAGATTTTGTATGTTTCGCAGCAGTATGAAATTGTATTTGAATTTTCCCAAAGTGGAGATTCTACCTTCATTGCAATCACTCCAATTTTGCCATCTTTTCATCCTTTTTTCTTTTATATAAACAAATTAAACTCTAAGAAAATAACCACTTCTAATTGTACTCTGGAATATCTGTGTTACAAGCAGGCTGTTTGAAGGAATAGCCAACAAAAACACTGGGTCAAGAATAAACCTGTTCTGCTTACCCCAGTCTCAGCTTCTAATACTGCGTGTTTCCATCAGTGTGCCTTACACTGAGAGTGAACAACACTGTGCTAGAGAGAATACTCATCTTTTCTTGATGCAGTTCCCCTCCCCCTCAAAACACAAAATCTTTAAATAGAAATATATGTCCATATTCATCTCTCTGCAGTTTACATTCTCTCTTTGTGAAACAGAGATTTTCAGTGTTTCGAAAACATTAATTCTTTTATTATCTAACTAACATTTCAGTTCCTCTCCTAGTTTTTCCACAATTACATCCTTCTTATTCCTCAAATTAGGTGAAGTATTCTACTCAGCCACTTAGTCTATATCCAAAGCATTTCTAGATGCAGAAAGTGGATCAATCTATTTTTATTAAAGAAGGAATTATTTAACCCTCTATTCAACATCATTCAAGAAACTGACTTCCTAAGAAGCCTCTATGCTTCAACGTGTTTCAGAAAGTATTTCGGTATCTTACCTAAAAGATCTGCTAAATCAGCAGCTTTTACCAGTTCTTCTATTTTCAGTTTCTTCCACTAAGTTATCAGATCAATTTTTCGGGTCAGAAGACGACATTAACTACCATAAGAACCCTCTGGCTGTTACTCTGAAATCTTAAATCAGCCCAGGCAACTGCTGGCCTAACAACAAATTTATTCAGGAGGTTATGGTGCTGATGCAGCTCAAAGCGGAGTCATCTTGAATACATCGGGGCTTATTAGTTCTGTTTTGGAGGTGGGCCTAAGCTTATTCTAGCCGATACGTTTGAGTGCACAAACTATTCTCCATGTCACTCCAAGAATGCTTGCTAGGTAGGTTTCAAGGTGACCTGAACACACCAAAGTATTCAAGAGAATGGAAGTAAGAGAAGCTGATGAGCCCAAGACAGGCCTCACAGGAACTATGTTGGGCTGTACAGTAGCACTCTGGGGAGTTCCTGTCATCAAGCCATGGTACTAACTATGTCAGATGATAAGAAATCAATTATCTTATCATTTGCTTGTACTGGGAGAGAGCCTGAAGAACTGGTTAGTACATAGAAATTGCAGCTACCCGACTACTCCTCCTCTTGTTGTCTGGCCTGGATTACTCACATTCCTCCTTTACGTCCACAGAAGCAACTTTTCTGGGATTCTTCCAATAATGGTTTTAGTCACTGTACATTTCAATTGATTTTAATGAGAACAAAAGTAATTTTCTTCTGCAAAATAGACTAGATAGCAAAATATTAACTATGGATATCCGAAAATTAATGGTTAAATTCAGCCTCCTGTAACTTCAGGTGCCTAGGCTCCCATTATAATCATTGGAGAGCTAGTCAATACAGCCCACGAGGTCAGAACACAATTCACCTCACCGTGAAACAGCAGACGCTTAGGTTTCACTTACTATTTTTAATAGATCTCCACTGACTGGAACTGGAACTCCGAAACCCAGACGTAGACATCTATGATCTATGTATCTTAGCTGCAAGTTTACTTGCCATGTATTACCATTTTAGATGCCATATGCTACCACTTCAGTGGCATGTGTCTCCTTTACATCCTGTGTCACGCCCAACAGCCCTATGCAGATGTCCTACAGCCTCTTAAGTGGTGGAAGGCCATCGTGAATATCTTTCATTATCTCTAAGCGTATACGCAAAAATATAAATTAGGTGTTAGCTAACTAAACCTGGCGTCGTGGTTTAACCCCAGCCAGCAACTAAGCACTGTGCAGCTGCTCGCTCGCTTCTCCTCCCTCCCAGTGGGATAGGGAAGAGAATCAAAAACTAAACCAAAAACCTCATGGGTTGAGATAAGAACAGTTTAATAACTAAACTCAAATATAATACTAACAATAATAGTAACAAAATACAATAGTAATAGTAATGAAAAGGAGTATCACAAAAGAATAAAACCCAAGAAAAGACAAGTGATGCACAGCACAATTGCTCACCACCCGCTGACCGATGCTCAGCCCATCCCTGAGCAGCGATCAGCCCCTCCCAGCCAACTCCCCCAGTTTCTATACTGGCCATGCCGTCCTATGGTATGGAATATCCCTTGGGCTGGTTGGGGTCAGCTGTCCTGGCCGTGCTCCCTCCCAGCTCCTTGTGCCCCTCCTCGCTGGCAGAGCACGGGCAACTGCAAAGTCCTTGACTTGAGGTAAGCACTACTGAGCAACAACTAAACCAGCAGCGTGGTACCAACGTTATTCTCAACCTAAGTCCAAAACACAGCCCTGTACCAGAGAGTAGGAAAATTAACTTTATCCCAACTGAAACCAGGACACCTGGTAACCATAACAAAATATCATGCATTTGGCATGTCAACCACACTGCAACAAGTAAGAGAACATTACTTTCAAGTTAACTGTATTATTGTACTTGTATACTACTTCTCTCCTCTCCACTTCTAAAGAGGGTTACCCTAAGCCACTGATTTTAATAGAGCTTTATTTTAAACTGTAAGTGATCAAGATGTGTATGGTCAAAGGTTTTTCTGTTTTCTGTCAGAAATGTATTCCTGTTTCTATCTTTTAGTTTTTATTCCACTTTGCATTTATCAACCAAGCAAAATGACTTTTACGACTGACAAAAGTTGCGTCAAGAGCAAAAGGCAGAAAAAAAATACCATTACAGCAGAATTAATGCATTTGAGAACCTTACTACCTAGAGAAAATGTAGCTGTTTACCCCAAATGTGCTGATAAATTTGTCCTCAGGATTGTGGAAGTTCCGTAATATTTCTAGCAATAAACAGAAAAGCCCCCTCACAGTGCACTTTTGGTTACTAAAACTCCTTAGAAGAACTCACCAAGTACAATCAACTGACTGTCAGTGAATGCAACTTCTGAGAGGTTCATGCCTAAGCATAAGCCGACTCGATTTTTATTTATTCCTTTCAAGATGCAACGACTCGTCTGAAATGTCACTAAAGGATGGCTACTTAAATTTTCCAATTTTAAGATTCATAACCGCATTACATAAAGACATTAACGCTTGGAAAAAAACCTCAGATTTTTAAAACAAAAGACAACTACAGTTTAGAGCCTGTTCATAGGAAAGAAGGTAGTAGGATGGCCACAGTTCCTATTAAAGCACAGATATTTAGGATACATGCTTAAGTATTAAACACATGCTTTTTATACTCATTTCGAAGCATTCTAAAATATCTGATAATCGAATTTTAATATAAATTCAGCAAACGTTACATACCTCAACAGCTGGAACAATATCTATGCCAACCGTCAGAAATTCTTCAAACTTCAGAAATGGATTAAAGCAGCTACCAACATCAAGTAACCTGATCTTCCCCAAGGAGTGGAGCAATCTAAGAAGCAGCAAGAATTCAGTTTTATTAAACGTTATTTTTGAAGCTGTATTCTGAATTACAATTTCAGATAACTAATGCAAAAAATTTCTCATCGAACACCACAGTAGTGACTAATAGAAGTGAATGCCTTACTTGAATTGCTGAGATATCTAAAGAACCAAGCTCCATCAGTAAAGCAGATGGTCCTCAAGAAGAGTTATGTTCAAAGCAGCTGCAATATTATTAGCTTGTGCACTTGTAGTAAGAAACTAAAATGACAACTTGTGTGTCCACTAGACAGGCTTGTTTTATTACTTTGTGTTTCCCACTTACCTTTTTGTGGTATTTATTAGTGAAGTCACACAGGTCAAATTTCAGGAGTTTAAAAAAGAAACTGGCAACACTCTATGACCTAGCTACTTGTCAGTTCCATTTTAAAGGACATCTGAAGTCAAGTGCCATCATTGGTTTAATAAAGACAAGAGAACACATAATGGTATTCCAAGGTAAACACAAAAAATACCTGAAACTGAAAGAATTTAGTTATTCCCCAACAAAAATTTTAAAATATTTTATTTATGTTAGCTAATATTTTTTTTAAATGGATGACTACTGGAGGTTCACTCCAATTCTGTTTTCAATGGATGCTGTTCAAGAGTTAGATCAGCCTATGCAGAGCCAC